AAAATAAAAAAATGTGTACCTGTACTGTGTAATTCTTACCTGCATATAGTCTTGTGTGCATGGGAGAAAAGGCTCCAGGCCAGCATGGCAACCTTGTTTATTCTAAGGACTGGAGCCTTGTGATGTTCACATGTTCATATTTTGGTTTGGTGTTGCCTAAGATTTTAATGTGTACGTTTTGCAGCTCAAAAGTGCTGTGCTGGATAGGAAAGAGAATGAACACAGAAACTATAGTGATGGTGAGGACCTTGGGAGAGGATGGTGTCTGTCTTTAAAACCAGCAACTTGATCTTGCTTCACATTGCTTTATAGGGGACACTGGCCTACCAGGGAGCTCACTGTGGAGAAGAGGAGGTGTGCAAACAGGCTGCACTGTCAGCTAGAGTAACACCCATGAGATAGTCACCACCCAGCACATGGGGACCGTTAGTGAGACATGGCAGAAACAGTTTGAAAGAAAGTACTAGAAGGGAACTTGGGAGGACTTGTGTCTGGTTATTATAGTTTTCTCTGTGAGAAAAGGTGGCTTTCCTGCTAAGAAGGAGCAGAAGACAGTGGGGTAGGAGGTGTCAGCAGAGTGGTAACATTTTTAAATCAAAATCTGAAGTCTGTGGGGAAGGAGGTAACACAGACCACTGAAAGGCCTGCTGGGTGCATGGCAGAGGCTGACTGCTCCACAATGCAGTGCTGGGCTGCTCCGCTGGGCCAGTTCTGTCACCAGCAAAGGCAGGGGCTGAGGTAGGTCCTGGGCTGCAGAGCTGGCACAGGGGAGGGGGTGCTTGGAAGGCTCCACACTGAGAAGGCAGTCTGATGAGGCTGAGCAGGAGAGAAGGGCAGTGGTCAGGGGCATGCCTGGGCACAGTGCTGCTGGCAGCCTGGGGTTCTGCTCCTTGGGGAAGTTTTTTACCCTGTTGATTGTGGTGCTCTGCACACGATGCCCTGGATCTGAGTCCTCCAGTTACCTACGGGTCTCACAGAGTGGATGTGATGCCTGGGGTCCAGGCACATCTTCCCCTGACATCATGGGAGGTGGGCCCCCACCCACCACCCTCTTCTACAGCGATACCCTCTACGCATAGGGTTGTGGGAGAGCACATTCGCGTGACCCCGCCAGGACCAGGCCCGATTTATGAGAGGCTATGAGGTGCCAGACCACAAGTGTGGCCATAACCTCTTAATCCCTTCTCCTTTGAAAGCAGCCTAACCACCTATTAACAAAACTGTATGGACATAAAGACTGTTTTCTCAGAATTCCATCTGATCTCTGCCTCAAGATCTGCTGAAAAGTATATTAAAAGGAATGTCTCTTAGAAATTTAATATAATTGCACTACCCAGAAAGTTTCCCTGTTTTGCTTCTTCATGTGTGCTTAGGTTCTTTGGCATCAGACCATTGCAGCGTGAGAAGCAAAACAGTTTGGATAACCTGGACAGCCATCGGGTGTGCCGAGAGCTTTAAGAGCAATAGCCAAATCGGTTTACCTTCTTCTTCAAGTTCTGAGCTTTTTATGTAAAGATGTTTAAAGAGGAATCTAGAAGGTATTTCATAAAATGTTTTATGAGATACAGTAAGCAACAAACAGAAAATACAGGTCATTCTTTTCCTGGAGACTCAGAATGCCAGCTGTGTGTCAGGTGGTACTGAGCAGAGGGACAGGGCAAAGTCCCACCCTTGATCTCAAGGGCTCCCTGGTCTGGCTGAGGGGAGGGGCACCTCAAGAAGCAACCAGGACTTTGTGTGGTCTGTGCTATGGAGCTGTCATAGGTCGCAGGCAGGACGGGGGCAATGGCCACTGCTGAGAAGTGCCCTGCCCCCTCTGAAGGACAGTAAAGGGGCACACCTTCACAGCTGTGGGAGTCTGGGCCATGAGCCAAATCTACTAGGATGTGTGGAAGTTTGCTAGATGCAAACATTCAGAGAAGAGTTTTAGAAAGATATAACAACTTGCAAGAGCTGCAGCAGTGAGCAGCCAAGGCAGGTGGAAGCCCACCAGCTGGTGGATAGTGCCAAGTGTGAAGCTGCCCAGAAGGCTGTGCAAGAAGAATAGGAGCTTGGATACCATGAGCTTTTACTGAGCACACTCAAACCCTGCAGACCCCGAGTTGTACTGGCTTGCCCAAGTCACACAGGGCATGCTGGCCGCAGGACTTGACTCCAGGTCTCTCGGGCGGCTACCCCATCTTTCCCTGCACTGTGAGACTGCTCTCCCCTCAGGTGCTCCATGATCTTTACACCTTCTTTTGTTTTGGCCAAGCACAGATACAAAACAGATCAGATTTCATGAACATAATTAGCACACATTTATATCATGGTTAAATTTATGTCATGTATAACACAAGATTTTAAAAAGCAGTATTTTTTCCCTTTCTTTGTAAGCTCTTTCATTTTGGAATTCTTTTAGATTTAGAGAAAAGTTTCTAGAGATGGGACAGAGAAGTTCCACACACCTCAGAAGCCCCATCATTAAAACCTTACAGTACCGTGCAATCATTTCAGAACTAAGAAACCCGGGTGGAACATTACCATGAACTCAACTCCATACTTTTTGGATCGCAGTGAATTTTCTTCCATTAATGTTTTCTTTCTGTTCTAGGGTTCAGTCCAAGTCCAAGTTACAATAACTTTCAAACAAACACTGAAACATGACATCAGAAACTATGTTATGTTATCAGATGTTCGGTTTTATGAGTTTAAGTAAGATACTGTCTGACTAGTTAGCAAAATATTTATTATCTGTTTAAAAAAGTAGTGATTAAGCTCTGGTCTACTAGCACTACAACAAGCATGTTGGATGTGCAGTGGTCTCCTAATGCAGCCCAGAGGAGAAGGTGGGAATTCACACCCGGCAAACCTGCTTTAGTCTGTCGTGGTCAGCTCAGGCTCCCATAATAATATGCTGCAGATTTGGAGATGTCACCAAGATACATTCACTTACTTATACTTCTAGAACCAAAAGCCCAGGTCCAGGTGCCCCTGTGGGTCCCAGCCAGGGCCCTCTTCCTGGCTCATGTGTGACTATGTCCCCTCACTGCTCTCTTTAGAATCAGCTTGCAGAGATCAGTATGTTCTCTCCCACTTCTTCCTCTTACAAAGTCACCAGCCCATGGAAGTAGGCCTCACCCAGGACTTTGCGGAACCTGGATTACCTATTAAGGACCCAGTCTCCAAATGCTATCAAACTAATGGTTAGGCCTCCACATGTGAAAGCAGAGGATGGGGCTGGCTAGAATTATTCCCAGGCTTAGTCCAGTAGCAAAGAGTATTCAAAAGCTCTGTAAGTCAATCATGAAATTGTATGATACCAAAATGTCCCCATTTTACAGCGTATTGAATGCAGGTGAAGATGTGCCATTTTGTAAAACACTTAACGTACCAGAAAATGTTAAGTACCTAGATGACATTTTAATGCACCATTAGACATGTTAAGAAAAAAAAATTGTCATCTAAGACAATGGTGCAAAATCAGGGTCAAGAAAAACACTTCAAAGGTAGCCATCTTGTGAAAGCTATTGCCAGAAGCTTACAGGTCCTTGTTAGGTTTAACATAGTTGTTAAAAGACACTGCATCCTTTAGAATAATGCTAAATAATTATTATTTTTACTGATATGGACCATGAGTTCTAGAATTTGCTTTTCCACAGCAAAGACACTGTACTGAGGCGTGGCAGAAGTACAGACACTTCACACTGAGTGAGAAACCACTGGGGTTTGTTTTGGTACTAAAGAAATCAGCTCCATTTACCATAGAGCATGGCAGTCTGGCCTGCTGCTCCCTTCTTGGCATGGCTGGGGTTCTACACTGCACTGTGGGTGGGTCCATGATAAATGCTAATGCCAAGTGGGGTGGATAGATTACATATCCTTACTTTAAAAAAAAATTGGAGGAGGGAACAGATTTGAAGGTGAAGGGAGAGTGTGAAATATCTTGGGAGGTACAGATGCATTCATTTCACCTTTGGAGAGGTACAGAAAACAGTATTCTGACCATCATTTGAAAGTAAATTGAAACAAATGTTTTAATCAAAGAGGGTATGCCATTCAGCATGTTTACACAAGATATACAGATCGGTAAGAGGAAAAATCCTTTAGGTTTCAAAAATTGCAAAAAGAGGAGTAGTTGCCCAGTGTTCATCAAAGAGGCCTAGACATACGGACTGTTCTTTTTTGTTGCAATGGTGATACCTCATTAAAGTATTCCTGCTGTTCCAACATGTGGTAAACTCTGATATGTTTAGTTACCAAATCAAGTAATGGCTTAATTCTACTCTGCTGAGACTCTGAAGAGTTTATATTCAGCCTATGGGTTCTTAAACATGTAACTCAACCACAGTAATTATATTCAAAACACAAGCCATTTGGGAATGCAGAATTTCAGGGTTACTTCGACCACCTCTGGGTCTCCACAGGGCTTGGTTCTGGAATGCAGCGGTGCTCTGGTCCCTTTGATTCCATGGTACGGGGTGCAGCCACCACACACCACCTCCAGGTTCACATGCTCCTCAGCACAGTGCAGGTGCTGTGGATTCTTGTACTGCATTGCTCAGGGAGTAGCAAGAAGAAAGCCTGTGCGTGCTCAGTACAGACACTTTTTTTATTTTTGTAAGATTTTTCATCCAGGTTAGTTGGATCCATGGATGTGGAATGCTGGAATCCAAAGGGCTGACTGTAGGTAGCAAAATGTAGCTGGTTAGTCTGTCATTTATTCTGTCTGTCTGTCTTTTCTTAATGACACTGGTATTAACCCAGGGTCTTCACACTAGGCTACATCCCCATCTATCCCCCCCTCATGCCTTTTGAAAACTTAGTATCCAGGTTCTCACTAAGTTGTCCAAGCTGGGTGCCACCTTGGGATCCTTCTGCCACAGTCTTTCTTATTTCTGTTACTGACTCCTGCTTTCCCACCCCTTATTCTCTTAACAGAAGAGCCCTCTGTAAGGGTGGGAGATGGGGGTCTTTCTGGAGTCTATAGAAAGGTGCTCACAGCTGTCCTCTGTTCACAGGTGGTCCCCATGCTTCCCAGGCTACTGTGCGAGGAGCTCTGCAGCCTCAATCCCATGACGGACAAGCTGACCTTCTCTGTGATCTGGACGCTTACCGCTGAGGGCAAGGTAACAGCAGACGGGTTGGTGTTTGTCTTCCTCCCATCATCCCATTCTGAGTGTCATGCCAAGTGCCTGCTGCATGCTTTGTCCTGGATCATCTGCTTAGAGGGTGGCATCCAGCCAGGGACACTCAGAGGGCAGTCCATATGAACCACAGGGGGTAGGGTTCTTCGGAAGTCACTGTAGATTGATGAGCACTGCCTTGCAGAGAGAGGGATGAGAGGACAAGGGGGTGAGGCACCGGATGAGAACAGAGGGGAGAGGACTGCCCTAACTCACTCTGGACATGAGGATCAAGCGCAGGCACACCAAGTGACTATAGCAAAAACTTTCCTTCCCCAAAGCAAACACATGGGCATCCAAAACACAGGAATGGTGCCATAGGCCAGGGCCTGCTCGCGGGGGGGGGGGGGGGGGTGCAGTTACAAGAGATGACCACAGCCACCATGGAGGAACACGGGAAGTGCTTGTGCTGTAACATGAAGTGGAAGGAAAAAAGAAATAGTTAATTATAAACACAGTAGAGTGTAGCTCTGCTCAAGCAACTTGAGTCATTTGCAGGAAAATGGGTGCACCTAGAGAACATGATATTAAAGTAAATCAGACATACAAGCTTAAATATTGCATGGTGTCTTGTATATGAAGACCCTGAAATAAATAAATAGCAAAATAAAGGGTGATAGAAAGGAGGAGGATAGATCTTTCTCAAATGGGAAAGGGACAGAGATGGGGAAGGGCATGAAGAAGGGAATTGGGGGATGTGTGTTTTTTGGGGATGTGTTTGTGCACCTGCCAGCTCCTCACAAATGGTGTAAATGTTCTGTACTGTGAATGTGTACTAGTAAGAATTAGTCAATAAATAAAAAAAGTTCCAAATAAAGACAGAGGATTAAATATGTATTTACTTTCATTCCTTCTCAAAATCTCACTAAAACAATAGTAGAGATTTTTTTGGGTTTTTTTTTTTTTTTAAAGATCTAAACCCACAAAGGACAAAGAACGGGAGAGGAGACAACAGCAACAACCTTTTGGAAGCTGGGTAGCAGGTGGATGAGTGGAGCTGACTTAGGGAGCCTGAGAAAGCTAAATCCTGAGCCAGCAATGGAGGAAGTCAAGAGGCAAAAAATTCTGAAGTTGACAGCGCCGGATCACTCTGCATGGGGTGGGGGGCATTAGGTGACAGCTGGAAGGCTGGCCGCAGTGTGGGTTGGAAGTTTAGTTCACTATCTTGCTTCCTGTTTAGCAGAGGCCAGTGATTTATTCTGGGGACAGGATAAAGGAAGGGCTGTGTGAATGAGGGAATAGTGCACCTTAAGGTGATATCTTTTCTTTCTTTCTTTTTTTTTTTGGTGAAACCAGGGATTGAACTCAGGCCCTTGCACTTGCCAGGGAGGCACTTATTCCACTGAGCCATTTCCCTGGCCCCTGAAGGTGATATCTTGAAGGGGTGAGCAGAGTATCAGCTGCCTAGAGACAGGAGCCCCACTGTACTGTTCCTGGCACCACCGGAACCCTGGGAGCGAGGCCCACACATGAGAGTCAGGATAGGGGACAGCTTTCACGGGTGAATGAGGACTTTAGAGCCTGGGGCTCTGGATCAGCAACCCAGCATGGGGGCTGGGCAGTGAATCCACCCATAGGACCAGACCCTTGGGGTTGAGAGTCCATATTTGAGAGACAAAAAAGAAAAGTGAGGTAGGAGGAGAAAGTAAATGAACAGCAAGGAAAGCAGTGAGGGCCTTACATACTATCAAAGGTAAAAAGAAATTGACCTTTATATCCCTCAAGAAGTAGTTTTTTTAATTTGGGGGTGGTGAGAGAGAGTTTCAGTGTCACAAGATCTAACTTTTAAAAAATAAACATTTGGAGGAAAAAAGTACTCAGAGAAATTAAAAACAAGGAAAGAAGGAAAAGAAAGAGAAGATTCAAGATTTCAGTTGGAAGATAAATTTGAGGAATTGTCCCAGGAAGAGATTAAGAGAAAAGATTAAGAAATTAAAGACCAGTTTGAGATAGACAGCATCTGTTCAGTGAGCATTCCTAAGCAGCCAAAGAAAACCAAGGTGTGGAGTGAGGGACAAAATAATTATAGGAAATGTGCCATTCCTGGGGAAAGATGACTTTTTAGAGTGGAAGAACACATTGCTGGCCAACTGATGGAGAGAGGTCACCTCCAAGACACACATCATAGAATTTTAGGACCCTGGAAAGATCTTGGAAAAAGGACAAACGAAGGAAGATCTCGAGGTTTCCACATAAGAATAACGTCAAGCTGTTCCAGTACAACACTGGAAAGTGAAACAACAGTGAATGACACCATGTCCATTAATGAAAGCCCAAGCCTGCAGTGCCCACGCTGAATGTCTGTGCCCACTAAGTGTACGTTGACTGCGAGAGTAAGGAAGGTCACCTGCAGAGCGTAGGCTCATGACACCGAGTCCCTCATGCATACTCCTCAGGAAGCTGTGAGGGAAGAGGAAGATAGGGTGTCCGTCCATCACCACCGTTCCAGATGGCGGGAAGCTCGGGTGGATTGATATATGCAGTGCACAGAAAGACCAAACAAATGTAAATCCTAGTGAAGGCAGTTGTGTGGAAAGACGAGACACTGCATGTTTACTGACTGAGTTAGCATATTGATGAGTGAGTTCTGGTAGCTGTAGGGTAACTGCTTTGAGAGCAATGGTGGTATTGTTGGAAAAGGGATATGAGGCAGGGGGCAAAACAGATTCTATCCTGGAAAGTTTGCAGGTAATGCCTAATGGATATAGAAGTAATAAGCAGGTTTTAGAGAAATATGGAAATTGACATCAAAATAATCTGTTAAAAGCAATAAAAGTGAATATTCTTAGGACGTGAAAAAGGATGTAGAAAGGCCTTCATCACAAGCTTTTGAAACTGTATATTTTAACCTTTTACTTTTATATTGAAAAAATGTAGATATATATGAAAATAAATAAAATAACACAATGAACTTAACATCTTCATCTCCCAGATTCAACTTCTATCAAGATTTCTTTCCATGCTAAAGTAATTTAGAACAAACCAAGACATGTCATTTCACTCATAAATGTTTTAATTCATGACTAAAGAATTTGGACATTTTCTTACATAACACAATGCCCTCCTAACAATGAATATTAATGCCAGGGTGCCAGCTAAAACCCAGGCCATAATATAGTTCTCTGATTGTCTCCAGTTGATTTACCCAAATTGGAATAAAAGAAAAGTCACACACATTATATTTTGTTTTCATGGCTCCTACATATCTGGTAAAAAAGTTCTTTTTTAAGATTTAAGAGGCAGTCATTATCTGAAATACAAGGAACAAATTATTAATACAGTATGCCAGCAACCATACTGTAGTGGGGGTGGGGATGGCTGTACTCTGGTGGGGAAATAATGAATGGAAAATGACCAGAAGGAGACCAAACAGGGTGCCAGCCGTGGTTGTATTCAAGCAATAAAACTATGAGTAAGTTTTCCTACTTTTTTATATTTTCTAATGATTTTTGAAAATATGCACAACTTTTATACTTTTATAAATGCTTGTTTTTGCAAACATTTAACTAAAGAGAAAATAAAGCCCACAGAAGGAGATTAACTTGAGTCTGTAAAAGCAGTGTTCAGTCTGAATTATCCTGCCAGAGTCAGATCCAAGAAATAGCCACCTGATCTTATGAGTTCCAAAATGCAAGTGTCATAAACACAGCACTAGAAAGTGGCAAGCCCAGCCTCCACGGCCCCTGGGGATTCTTGAAGTGTCTGGCACCCAGGACTCTGCCCTTGCAAGGGCTGGAGCACAGGCGTGAAGTAGTTGCAGGCTCCAAAAGGTGCTGGTCTTCATCCAAACCACTCCAGAGAGGAAGTGTGCGGGTTTGGACAAGGGACAGGGTGTGGGGCAAGGTCCACTGACCGCACTGCTTGTACCGTGCTTATCCAAACACACTGCCCACACAAGGGACCAACCACATGAGAGAGAGACCACTGTTTAGTCCTGGATGTGGTGATGGATCGGTGTCTCCTGCCCACAGTCAGGGAGCCCAGCGTGAAAGACCAGATCCCACACTCGAGGTCAAGGGAGGCTTGTTCAAGACACGGAGGAGGAAGGCTTGAGCTGGTCAGAGTGTGAGTGGGGAACAGCTGAAGGCAGGCGGAAAGTGAGGGCAGCCCTGTGTTGAGAGCTGGGGTGAAAGCAGGATCGTGGAAGCTCAAGGATGGGCTTGGATGTTATGGAGCCTTCTCTTGGCATGTGGGCGTCCACTTGGTTAGAAAGATCCAGGGCAGGGCCAGCAGTATCCTGCCACCTTCCTTGTGTCCACTAGTGTCATCTGGAAGTGAAGTGGAGAAAGCTTTGTGGTTTTCCCTAGGCTGCTGGCATTCTTTAACTTTAGAGCAAGAAGAGACTACTGTAAAGAGGCTGTTCCAGTTGTTTGTTCTTGTTTTGAGTACTGGGAATTGAACCCAGGACCTTTGCACTGAGCTGCATTGCCAGCCCTTTAATTTTTGTTTTGTTTTGTTTTGTTTTGTTTTGTTTTGTGAGATAGAGTCTTGCTGTGTAATGCAAACTGGCCTCAATCTCATGGCAGTCCTCCTGCCTTTAATCCCTGGGATTAGAGGAGTATGCCACCATGTCCAGCCTACTTTAAATTTTGAGATAGGGTTTCACCAAGTTTCTAAGTTACCTAACTTGGACTCAAACTTGTCATCATCTAGGCGGCCTCTCAGAGTGCTGGTTTGACAGGCATATGCAATCACACCAGCCTCCAACTACTTTTTAAATACCTACTTGATTTTTTTTCAACACTCACAAAATCATGGCTGTCTCTGCTTTTATTAAGCCAGTGCTCAGACTTCGGGGGTTAATAAATCCTGAGAATCTGTTCTTAGCATATTTCTCACATCAAAGTTGTGAGAATATTGTTCTCTGATCTAGACATTTGTGATTCCCTGCTGGCTCAAGGGAAAAGTCATCAAGCTCCATCTTGTACTTCTGCAAGATTCAA